TGGTGCAACACGGGAAAACGCCAGCTCAAGATGAACAGTGCAGTGAACAATAGGTTCTTTTTTTAATCAAATGCTTCATTTAGTAGTAAAAGCAGGTAAGAGTTGAAAGCCTTTTAGGCACATCTTTCCAGGTCAAATACATAAAAACACGGACAGCTCTTCATCAGGAAGCACTTTTTCCTACAGAAAAACAAGGAGGTCTGTACCAGCTTAATACTTTCATACCAAACTGCTGCAAGCACTGCCTTTTCATTCACACATTTTGGGTTGATGCAAAGCAAAACAACTGCTAGGAGATGCTTTCGCATGTTTGTAATCCTCCCTGCAACATATTACAATACACCACTTCTGATACAGCAACACAGTGGCCATTTCTCACAGTTCATCAGCCTGTAAAACATCTGAACCTCCCAATGTGACGCCAACACACCTCAGGAGGAACTCTGCACATCCCAAGCGTTCAGAGACTTTCAGTCATACTGTTAAACACACCGGGGCTGAAAGGAGGCAGAGCCAGCCAGCAACTTCCCCAGGCTGCCATGTAAGTAGGAAAAGTCTGCTCCCTCATATTGGCCAAAAGACTTGTATCTACCAGATAAAGCCATTTAGAGACTAAGTAGCATACCAAATAAATCAAAATAAAAAGGCATCATAAAAGTAAGTGCATGATAACGTCCTCGTTTTGGCATCTTTTTTTTTTCCTGTAATACTATGAATTCTCACAAACTGAACGAGCAAATGCTAAACACATTTGATCACCAACACCCTCGCAGAGAAGCAAAGCAAACCCGTTGCTTTTTCCAATACCAAGCATCAGGCACTCAGAGCGGCAGTAGATGGGACAGCTCTTACCTAAACCCAGCCTGCCAAAGCTGCCAGCGCTGGGGGCTGCACCCTTCATGGCAACAGAGGATATTTAGTTTAGTTTACACTGACCATGTAACAACTACTGCAACCCCTCAGTCTCATCCAGATTCAATGTGTCAGGGCAAGGTTTCTTGGGGAGAGCACCGTTAGTGCTGTTGGTCCAATTATTATTTTGGGGACAGAGAGAGGAATGACATGGCTGGAGTCCATAAAAACACGTGCTTGCCTGGTGCAGGAAAAGTATCTATTCTGCATACATAAGACTTTGAATACTGTAACTAAGCAGCCAAAAGAAACAGCAACACAAAGCTCTTCTGCTTATAACACGCCATTGCGAGGCAGAGGCTTCGAGCACTTCTCTTAAGAGACGTCCACCAGGATGTGGGCTGGACAGGGATCTCTAAAGGCTCCCTAAAGTACTCTCTAAAGGCTCCCCAAAACAAGACCACACCATCAGCATTGGTACACATGCTCCAAACAATCTCAGTACTAGTTGCTCCCCTGCCCCTCAGAGATTTTGGGAAGAAGCTGGTATTTATGCATCCCAGCCTACTGCCAGCAGAAAGACAACTGCAGTCCTTTAACATGAGCTGCGGATGAATTTAACAGCCTGGGTGAAGATTGATTTCCCTTTTCACCTTAGTAGCAACTAGTGGAAAGGCCAGTGTAACTGTATATCTTAAAGCAGTTCTTTCCTACAGGCAACTAAAATTTCCTAAGGCCATAATGAAAAGTAGCTATTGTGCCTCTAAAAATCGGATGAGAGGCAGGGGCGCTGGATAATCGCAGGAAGAGATTTCCCAGGATATATGCGGCCATAAAATCCCAAATTGTGTTGAAATAGAAATGCCTCTTCCAAACTATTTCACAACCAACGCCTCAGATTTCAGCCTAAGCCCACTTTTACAAAACCAATATTCTTGAATACTCATCAGAAGTAAGAAACGGGTAGGACAGGGTAGTGGAAGACTCTTGGGGGACCTGCCCACACAGGAAATGAGCACAGACCAGAAGAGCATGACTAAATAGTTGAGACTTCAGAAAACACTAGGCTTTGCAAAAATGACCACCCAGGATATCTTATTTTAATGTCTTTGGTAGAAAGTGCTTCCTCCCAAGTAGCAGAGATAGGACAGCTCTTTAATCAAGTTCCTGATGGTGTTTGACGCGTGGAGAATTTCACTCCAGCCCTCCTGCCCCCACTGTTATTTCTAGCACGCCTTTGTGCTCTGCTCTGACTGCTAACCTGGCCCCTGCCCTCACAGCACAAGCCTCAGCACATGGCAGAGTTACCAGCAGGGTTATGATGCATAATTTTATAACTGACATATGAAAAAAACAAAACATGATAGATCAAGCCAATAAAAAGGAGGGCTTTGTACACTGTCAGAAACAAAATAAGGGGTAGATGTCCTCAGGAAAACTGCACAAGGACAGAAAAAAGTGACCCCTTAGGAGCTTGCACATGTTTCCTTTCTGCCAGCCCTCATCTTATTCTATGTTAAAAGCAGAGAATGCATTAAGATTGATTAATTTTATTCATTAATCCACTCAGAAGAGAAGTTCCTGCTTTGGTATTCAGTATACAAGGACCCAGCACAGGAGGGAGTCATGGGACAAGTCAAGCCAGAAGTTCTCTCTCTCATGAGAAAAATGGGGAATCTCTTGGGCTGAGGATTATGAACTGTGATTACTTTCGCAATCCAAGTAACTATCCAGAAAGACCTACAGCAGAAAAGTATCTGGGTCTCTTTGGAGCCAGACTACAGCATAAAGATCAAGAAAGGGTGGCCAGTGAGTTACAACACGTAGCTAAACTTTAAATGCTCTATCCTTGAACTCTGTGCTGAGGGCACAGAGTAAATGCCTCAACTTTCAACAGCTCTGCTTAAAGTTCAAGGCAACCCTTATCTCTGGCAAGGATAAAACTCTCTTTAAATACCCACACTATAAAGTGCAATGCTAATGAATACTACTTTGATTTTCAGAACTGAACGTACCCACTCGGTCTTTACAAACATTTTCCTAGTACTAAAGGCAAACTTCGCCAACACATGTTGGACTGAAGCATACGTGAAGCGAAAGCTATATGCTCTGACACTCCTTGACAGATGAGCACATTAGCCCGAGCTAACTCAGGAATTTGCAACATAGGAAGCCCTTCTTGCCAGCTGCACACACCAAGAGTTTAGGTGTTACAGTCAGACACAGCTGGATTTCTCAGTCTAGCAGCTGATCCCCATGCTAAAAATATCACTTGACATTGGCAACATGTTTTAGTACTATTGGCCTGACAGAAGAGTATCTAAACACTGGATACTTTTTTTTTTTTTAAAGCTTTTAGGATTGTCAAATCTTTGGTAATATTTAAAAAGCAAACTATGATCTTTACACAGGTTTCTACAGCTTTCAGTTTCATAAATAACATCACTTGTCTGCAAGATGGCTACCTCCAGCAGTAGCCTGAGATAAGCCAATTCCATCTAAAAAGAACAATTAGGAATGTATTTTCGTAATGTATTTCGCAAGGGCTCATCTTGGTAACTTTCAGAGTGGCCGGTTGAGCAACGTGCCGAAACACTTCAGCTCTCTGCCTTTTGCCCAGGTATCACAGGACATTTGCAGACAGGTGATGCATTTACACAGCCAGCGTTGTACAGTCCTGGACACCCGCTGTGTGAGGGGACAGTGATTTCCCAAAGCTTGCAAAGGCCCTCAGCTGCCTGCAATATCCAAGTTCGTACAGCAAAAGACCTCCTCGTGTTCCTTCTGCGGGCAGCACTGTATTTGTTGATAGGCCTGCACAGGTTTATATTAAGGAACCCCACAGGCACGGATTTCATTACAAAAAACACCATTAGGACACCGGAAAGGAGGGGGGAAAAAAACCTGCAACAGCAATGCACCAAAGTAATTTTTCTTCCCGAAATGACCTCTTGCGGGCTTGGTTCCCTGTTTCACAGGGAATCCGAAACTCAGACCACGTACACACATGCGGAGAGTAAAGGAGAGCGTCGGAGCCCCGCCGGGATCAGAAAACGCCAAAACGCACTAAAGCCTTCAAAAAAATTAAAAAGAAAAAAAAAAAAAAAAGAAGCGAAGACGTCGGACCGCGGCATTCTTCCTCCCGCAACTTTAGCGGAGCGCTGAGCGGAGGTTTGCGCTGGCGGGGACCCCTTGCACAGTCCCGCCGCTCCCGCCCGGTTCCCCCCGGGATCGCGGAGCGGCAGAGCCGAGCTGGGCCGGCGGGGGCCCCGCCGGGATCACGGACAGGGCTGCGGGGAATATCCCGCACATCGCACCTCGGCTGCTGCTGCACCCACCGCTGCCCCCGAGCCGCCGGGAGAGAGAGAGCGGGGCCAAAACACACAGCCGAAGGGAGCCGAGAAAAACAAATCGCGTCAGCTTACCTTTCACGAGCGCCGACATTTTCGCTCTTTAATCAATAAACACTCGGCCAAACACGGAGTGCCCCGTACCGGGGGGTTCCGCCCCGCGGCTGCCGCCCCTGCGGAGGCTGCGGCGGGAACGACGGCGACCCCGGCCTCCCTGGGAGCTCCCGCCCGCCCGCCCGCCGCGCTGCCCCTCCGCCCAGCGCTCCCTCCCGGGCCGGCGGGCGGGCGGCGAACGCCGAGCAATTTAAATTTCATCAATGGAAGAGGCGGACCCGCCGCGCCCCGGGTTTCACCACCCCCGACCCTCCCCTCCCTTCTCCTCCCCTCCCCTCCCCGCCGGGCCGTCCGCCCGCCCGCCTCCCCCGGGGGGCTCCCGGCGCGGCTCCTCCCCACTCCCGGGGGGGAACAGCGATGGGACGGGACAGGCCGGGCCGGGCCAGGCCGGCGCGGTCGCCCCACGCTCCGACCGCCCCGTGCGGCGGCGGGGCCGGGGGGGGGCGGTCCCGGCGGGTGCTGCCCCGGGGCCGGGCCGGGCCGGGGCCCCCCCAGGGCTGTGCCCGGGCGGTGGCGGCGGCGGCCCCGCCGAACCCACCTCGTCCTGCGGCACCGCGGGCGGGGGGCGGGGCCCCGCCCTCCCCCTCCCCCCGCGGCGGGGGCGGGGCCCGCGCCCGTCCCGGCGGGCCCCTCGCGCCGGAAGTGGGCGGGGCCGCGCCCTCCGTGAGGGGCCGCGGCGGCGGTCGTGGCTCTGTCGCGACAGCCGCGATTAAAGGAGGCTCGGTGAAGGGGTCTGGCGTGCAAGTGTTGTGAGAGGCGGCTGGGCACGTTTAGCCTGGAGAAAAAGGGGCTGAGGGGACCTGAGACCTTATCGCTCTGCACGGCTCCCTGACAGGAGGGTGCAGCCAGGTGGGGATCAGCCTCTTCTCCCAGGCAGCCAGCGACAGGACGAGAGGACACAGCCTCAGGGGAGGTTTAGGTTGGACGTCGGGAAGAATTTTTTCACAGAAAGGGTGATTAGACATTGGAATGGGCTGCTCAGGGAGGTGATGGAATCACTGTCCCTGGAGATGTTTAAGGAAAGTCTGGACGTGGCACTCGGTGACGGGGTCTGACGGACATAGTGGTGACTGGTTATGGGTGGGAATCGATGATCTCAGAGGTCTTTCCCAACCTGATTGATTCTGTGACTCTGTGTGGTTCTGTAATATTTCTGACTTATTAAGTGTATCGTGACTTAAAGCATCTCCACCCGTGGCTTTCCACCCCGGGTGCATGGACCACATTTCAGTGCTGGGGAGGTACCTGGGCCACGTTCGATGCTGGGGAGGTGCCACACTGGTGCAGCGCCCTTGGCAAGCACAGAGGTGCCAAAGGCCAAGTGTCGCTCCTGAACTAGGCTGTGATTTCCCTCTTCAACAAATGTTTTCCCCATTTTGCCTGCAGACGTTTCCCAGAGGTGCTTGAGCTTCCCTCTGCTCGGTGGTGACACCCAGTTATGGCAGAAACCCCCGTGCCCCCTACCTGCCATAAATAACACCCAGCACCCTGCAGGTAAATGGCACCGCCCTGGTTTTTTACCTTCACAGACCAGTGCCCCTTTACCACGAGGAGAGGGGTATGGGAATTGGCAGGGTGCTGCTGAAATCCAGTTTCAAGAGGCGGATGTGTGGGAGGCACAGGCAGCCCTGCCTTCATCCTTCCTGGCTAAAGCTCCCTGTACGGTCTCTGGGAAAAACCAGGCAACTCCCAGGATGAGCCTGTCCGTTTTGGGGTGGGACAACTCCCCTCTGCCTCTGCCTGTTCCTTGGCTTTTTAAGAAAACCGAAAGTGCAAAGACCTAAAGTGCTCTGCAAATTTTTCATCCCAGTCCACTTGACCTGGGAGCATCCCTTTGCATTTTGTACCACCAGATGAGTGCAGTGGCTTACTGCATGCTGTCTTAACATCAGGGAAGATGCTCCTCTTTCTGTCCCAGATTCACCAGCAGGAAAAAAGTCCTGAGTTCACTCCAGGACTTCAGCAAAGTCCTGAGCCTTTTCTCCAGACATTGATGGGAGCTTGCTGTTATCTTCAGCGCAAGAGCAACCCTACTCCTGTCCTTGCACCGGTAATTAAAATGCTTTGATTTAAACCTGTTGCTCCTACAGCTCAGCTCTCCTATGACCCCACATCCAACACCTGCCAGCCAAGAACACTACGTAGGTGTTCTCCAGATAGGACCAGAGCAAATTTGTATAGCTGTCCTGGGTAATTACAGGATAATTACAGGCATGATTTATAGGGTAAGAAACACAGATAACTTTTTATCTGCCAGCAATAAAACTAATTCCAGTTTAGTTTAGACCTGTCTTACTGTGGTGAAACCAGGAGAAAACCCTCCCTCCTTCACTGAGTTTTGTGGAAGTAAGGGAATAATCAAGACTGAGCACCAACTGTGTTGCTTAGGATGAAGGTAACCAAAACCAGCAAATTTTGGTAAAACTCTTGAGTCCTCAGAGCTCTGGCAGTGTCCTTTTAGGAAATAAAGCTGTTGGGCTGATAAGGTCAAGTCCACACCCAAGCAACTTCTCCTGACTCCTTTGGCAGGCATCAGCTGGAGGATGGATGGAGGAGAGGCTGTGCAGCACAAAACCAAAAAAAACCACTTAATTGCCCTAGAGCTGTATTAAAATGAAGGAGAGGTTTGCAGCCTCCCGATGATGCTGCTCCCAAAACACCAACCAGGAATGCTCCAGGAGCAACATGCTGGCAGCCCATCCATCTGCACCAACATTTTGGGTTAAGTAGACATAGAAATGCCAAAAACAAGTCAAAAGGGCCTGAATGAAAATTAAGCTTTTGCTCCCCCCCATGCCTGATGTCACCATTTCACCCAGGCAGTTCAGCATCTTCCAGGAACATCAGGCTGGACTGCATCACAAAGTAACAGCTTGTTATTGGAATCAAGGCACCAAACCCAAACCACCGCCTGGTTTTATGGCTCAAAAATAAACTGCCCCATAAATATGCCTCGAAAATAAATAAATAAAATTATCACGATTTCCTTTGGCTTTGTCAACAGAGAAGTTTACACCAATGCCAGATGCTGCCAAAAGAACTGGTCCTGTCCTCCCCTTACTCCATCCCTTCTCCCCATCCCACTTTTGGCTCAGCACTGGCAGTTTTTGGCTGGGAAAGTCATCTTTTGGGTGGGCTTGTTTCTGGTTTGCACGTGGGTGGTGGCAAGGGGAGGTGGAAAAGCCCTTATGGATACCCAGCATCATCCTTGCATCGCACTCTCATTTATTTCTTCTTCAGCATTCCTTGTTAAGTTTCCCACTGAGGATATTTACTTTCCCTCTCTCCTCTGTCTGTTTTTCAGTCACTTCATTTATTGCCAATTAACTGACTCGTTGGAGCTGAGCAGGGTCAGCAGATAATGGGAATCTGGGCATTTGTGGGGGAAAAGACACAGTGCAAATGCCAAGGAAATATGACCAGGAGGCACTTGGAAAGCCAAGGTGTGAACATTTTAATTTACTGACTAGGAAATAATAGAAAAAAACTTTTTTGTTGTTGCCCAAATAGTATAAATAGTAACACAGGTGCTTTATGGCCATTTCTCAGTTAATTATATATATTTAATAATTATATATGCTACAAATATATGTATAATATACATATGATATCTACACATAATACACATAATATATAATATCATAGTAATATGTATATATGATTTCTATATCTTACATGTATTATCCACACATGATATATTTTTCTACATTATATAAATATATATTTACAGCTTTTTCTATAATATAAATATACGTTTAGAAATCCAAGCATTTTTGTTATATACATATAATCCCAGGAGGTGTATCTGGGCATCCAGCAAAGCAAGCTTGGATCCCCAAGGATCTGCATATATATAGATGTGTGTATGTGTGTATAAAAACATATATGTCTATCAAATATATATTAATATATAATTAATATATAATTGCATGTTCTGTATATCTTATGTATTTATATATTAAATATTTATAAATTTATATTATAAATACACGTATTTACACAGTCTATAAAACCTATATAATATATATATAGTTATGGATTGTAATTTTTCTTTTTTATTTTTCCCAGTGAGTGACTGGGAAACGGTAAAAATCAACCTCTCAGCCCTCTTGGGTGGGGCACACAGGGCACGCTGCACCTGAGCTCCGCCAACTCCTGTTTGTCCAGCGAGTGCACCAGCCACCTGACACATTCCCGGTTGCTCCTCCGGAGCTTTGTTTCCTGTGACCAACACCCATTTGCACTATTTCCTAAACAAGCAAGGGCTCATCAGCGAGTGCCATCGGTCCCACTCCTGCTTTCCCTTTGAACTGTCTCTGCGGGCTGGGGAACAGCCAAGTTCAAACAACCCGTGCTCGGGCATCAGCCTGGGAGGACATAGAGCATTAACGGATTTAATAGCACCAAACAGATCAAAGCTTTCAAATTGCATAATTAAAAAATATCCCCGAGGCACCAGTCTGTGATACCACAGGACGCCAACATGGGGTGCAGAAACCTGTGACTACATTCGTCTGAAATATTTCCCGAGTGTTTAAAAAGGTGTAAAAATCCACTATTTATTTTATTTTATTTTATTTTATTTTAAAACACATTTTATTCCAACATATGAACCACATGTAGTGGAACAATGGCTGTGCAAGCAGGACATGGGGCAGGGAGAACCCTGTTTTTTAAAATAAAGATTAAAATAAAATATTTTTTTTAATTCTATGCCTTTCTTTTTCTCTTACTTTTCCATGTTTAAAGCATGGACACACAGCACACCTTTGGGGCAACAGCTGAAAGCCACTGAGTCAGAAACAAGCCTGGTTGCACCTAAAAAATCTCCTGTTAACAACCTCAGTGGGGACGGTCCGGAGGTCTCGGATGCTCCCCCTTGGATCTGCAGGATTCTTGAACAGTGTTTTTGTAGCATAGCCAACAGGGAACACAGCAGAGGTGGCAAGGGCAGGGTCTCCTGGTTTGGGGGCGTTCAGTGGTGGTGGGAATAGCTGGAGCTGTTCAGGCGCCACAAGGGGGTTATTTTGTCCACAGATAGGCTGGACAAAAGCTCTGGAATAACTCAGTGTCTATTTTTAACTCCCTTCTTGCAGGAATTTTGCAGCGCCTGGTGGCACGCTGGCATGCACACGGCATGCACGGCGCTCCCGATGCGAGTCTGAGGGCAGGATAATGTCATTTGGAATAACGAAGCCCTCCTTGGTCCGGAGGTGCTGACCAGCTAGAGGTTTCTATAGGCCCTGTCCTGTCAGCTGCTTCTCTGCATGCTCAAAGTTTTCCTACTGATATTTCATAGGAAACAAATCCTTCGGGATGAGCCCTTATGGCAAACGACAGATGAGCCTTGTCCTTACCACCACCCGGTCGTCACCCTTTCACATTTGCCCCTGGGCCTGTTCCCACCACTATAATTAACCACAAATCAGGTGTCAGCTTGCTCTGTTGGACATGGCTGTAGAAATTCTTGGCACGGTGCTCTTCCTTTCGGGGCTGGGAGCCAAGCTCTGGAGACACAGGAGAAAAACAGCTCATTATGCCTGCAGTGGGGTGAGAGCTTTCCCCTTTCTCCCCTACATGCTCAAGGCTAGATCCGGGACCTAGCTGAGACAAAGTGACCGTGGCTGGACATCTGTGTGTCCAGTCAGCAATCCCAGGTGGGGAGAGTGTCACAGCACTATGCCAGGCTCTACCAGCTCCAAGCATCTGCATCCACGGTCAAGCAGGTCCCCTACAACAAGGAGCATGGTGGTGGACCTTGGAATGCTGGCAATGGGGTGCCTGACATGGGTCTGGAGGTCTGGAAGGGGTGGGACTGAGCCACTGGATGAGCCTCCCTCGCTGCCCCAGTGAGGCTGACTGGGGATGCTAACAGCAAACCTTCCTAGCCCAGAGGATTAGGGACTAGCACTGCTGGTGACTCCTTCTGTGGGTTTGGTGAAATGTCTCAGAGGGGGTTTGGTGACTGACTGGCAGCTGGAGGTGAGGGAAAGAGAGATGGTTACCAAGTCACTCCACTTGACCAAGTGGAGCGTGAAGAGGTGTTTGACCGGCCAGTAGTTAGGTCTTAAATGTTGGACATACAGAAAGAAGGGCCATGCACTGGGGCATGGTGAACCTGGCAATGTAAAAAAAAACAAACGCGGATTAAGAACAAGACTAAAGGAATTGTTATCTCTGGTTTCTCCACCAATAGACCATGGGTTTTTTCTAGTGAGTCATAGATCTGCAGAAAAGCAGAGGCCAACAACAACCTCTGGAGGTCCCTCCTCCAACCTCTGCTAGATCATGTTGCTCAGGGCCAAGGTTTTCATCTCCCAAAACAGAGATCCCACAGCCTCACTGGGCTCCATCATTGGATCACCCTCACAGAGAACACATTTTCCCTTAATGTCCAACTGACACTTCTCATCTTTCACCTTGTGCCCATTGCCTGCCCTTATACTTCCCCTGCACACCTCCAAGAGGAGCCTGGCTCCATCTCCATCTCTGCTATGGCATTTCCCTTTGCTGGGCTTTGTGAGGTTCCTGACAGACCATTTCTAGGGCTGAAGTTGTCAGGTCTCCTCTCTGGGTAGTTCCTGTTCTCAGTCATGAGAGAGGAACTGAAACTACCGACATGTCTTAATACAAAATCCCAGATTATCACAACAGGGAATGCCTTCAAGTAGTTAAGGGACACATGCCTAAGTACAGTAGTTTATGATTCATGCAATGAGGTGTACAGAATTTCAGTATTTACTTCTAGAGGTAAGTTTAATTTAAGGTTAGAATCTGAATGAAAAGGGAATTATGTAATATTCTCATGGAGTTGAACAGCAGCAGAGCCTTAAGGTGAAAGAGAAGGTTAACCCTTAGTTATAGATCAATTTAACCACAAATTAGAACAGTAAATTTATCTGTGCTAAAATGTCCATCTCCTATCCCCACCGATCACAAAAAATAGTTTGACTGTATACTTACTTAACAACTACCTCTATATCTATTTCTTGTATCTGCAATTCTGTATTAACCATGTGCTATCAAATTTAAAGAGGAAAAAAAGCAGAACAAACAAAATCTGAGCTTCCTTCTGACTGCTGAGTTTCTTAACATATACACACATTAATCCCCAGGTTAAATAAGGACAAGAAGTACACGGGAAAAACCCACTTGCATCGTTCAATGTTGTGTTTGTCCAGCAGCCCTGCCCTCCAGCATACCAGGGACTGTGCCTGGACTTCTGCAGCAGCCCCAGCTTTTCACAGCTCTCTCCCTACCAATGTCCCCTGCAGAGAGGTGACTTTTTTTTTTTCCAATTCAGGACATTTCTGAGTATTTTTTCTGCACAGTTACCCAACCAGCTGGTTTCTGAGGGAAAACAAAGCCCAAGCTCACAAGTACATGTGCAGCAGCACAGTGGACTTTGTCCCAGAGAGGGAATGGTGCTTTCAGCCAACTCCTAGTCCTGCACTGCTGCAAAACCAAGCAGAAGACCAACCCCAATGTGTCCAAGTGACCCTTTTTCCCCCCTGAAATGCATAAAATTAATCCACTTCCATTTTATTTCTTGCAGTGGTTGTGTCCCTTACCAGCTGACTACCACCACCTTCCCAGGCATGTGCAGGATTACCTACACCACTACTGGAGTAAGGAACACTATTGGAGTAAGGAATATCACCTGTTCTCAAGCATGTAAAAACTCTCGAGGCCACCAGATCTTTTCTGGGCCCCTGTGGTCCGACTGGCAGAAGTGTATCCCTTGATGGTGGTGCTGCCAAGCACTCTGAGGGTGGAGCAGCCCTCAGTGCTGCCATGTCCTCAGTGCTGCCTTTAAGGGAGCTGGCAGAAAAAAAACTGGACCCACTGCTTTGTTTTGTGTTAGTGGGCTACAGGTTGGGGTGACAGGATCGGGAAGATCCAACAGGAAGACGCAACTGAAGCTGCTGCATCCCGAAACTTCATCGGCAACACGAAGATTTCTGACAGCCAAACCTCTCTCTGCAGCTGCTTCTCATAGAAATAACACGTGGTGTAAATACCACCTTCATGAGGTCACACTGCAGTAAGTTCACAGAGGAGGAATGAGGCGTCCTCATGGGATTTGGCAGGCTCTTGCTGGAGCAGATTCAGGGTGGCCTCAAGCCTGGGGCCACGGCTCAGTGAGGTTGTCCTGCCCCTGGGAGAAATCTGCAAAGAACCTGTGGTCCCGTTGGGCCCCCCAAGTCCCTTCAGGTGCTTATATTTAAGGAGATTTAGGAGGAAGACAAGAAATCCCAGATGCTAACCCATTTCAAGTCAGAGAGTTGTTATCATTGACTTGTTGCCTTCATCATGTTTTAATTTTAGACCTGCTCATTTTGGGCACATTCTCTGAAAGTGTAGTCTATAATAGGAAGGAGAAGATTATGTGTTTATCACTACAAATGATCATGTTTCTCATGTCTTCCATGTCGCTTTCTAGCCAAGTCATCCACTGCCAAGCAACCTCCCTGGAGCCCCTAGGAAATGCTCTCGAGGATTTTTGTGGTAGGACAGTGGTAGGACACTCCCCACAAAGTCTGCTCTGTTTTTTTACCCCTTCTGCAATGGAAATGGGTGCATTTCATCCTTTTAGCTCTTGTCTGATACACACTGGACTTCCCATCTCCATCTCTGCTGAAACAATCCTATTTCACAGACTCCCCCACTTAGTAAATCCTTTTATTTAAGGCCATGTTTGCTTCCCTTCCTTAGTTGGAGAGTGATGAAATCAACTGGAATCCCTGTTAAAATGTTTTCCTCATGCTACTAAGTAGTCATGGAGAAGCCAGACGAAACATCAGAAAACAATTTATTTTTAGCATCCACACCACTGCACATTGGTGTGTCCTTACCCAGTGGTGGGGGGGTCAGAATTTTAAGGTCCTTCCCAAACCAAACCATTCCATGATTCGATAATATTGCCACCATAATGCCACTTTGGTGTCAAAGTCAGAATCTCAGATGAGTTTGGATGACATGTCACAGCTGTTCAGGCTTTCCTGGTGGCAGCACAAATCCTCTTGGAGCACTATCAGCTGCCGTCCTTTCCACCCAAGCTTGGAGTGGAGGGGGTTAAATTTGCCCACAGTAGTGTTCTTTAAATGCTGGATGATAAATCTGTTGGATGATACATCTGCCTGTTAATTGTAGAACACGTTTAACGTTTTATCCATTTTCAAGGAGGTACAACCCATGCCTTTGTTGAGGTCTTGAAGTCTTCCTGAGGGCAATAATGGTCCATTCTGGTGGGTCAGGCAGTGGCAGTGGAGAAAACATCTGGAGAGGGGCAAGCAAGCAGCCTCATGCCACCGAGTGAGTCTCCTCTCCAAACCAAAGCCATACAGGAGGTCTCCAACAAAAATGGGTGAAAGCGAGCCATGGTTGCACCTCGAAACCTCTTGAGAGGACATGACAGCACCTCCCTACAGAAGGGATTCTTCATTTCTTGATCAGAAATAGTGACTCCAAGGCTTGTGAGTCCCTCCCATCCTGCTCTGGGTGCTGGGCAGCAAGGGAGGAGATGACATCTGTGCCCTGGTTGTCAGGCAGCATCATGTCCTGGGTTGGCATTGGCGCTGCTGGAGGAGGCTCAGAGGGGAGTAGTGCAATACTTTTCCCATTAATCATTTACCATGCAGTGACGTTTTCTGCAGCAGAAGGGAATGGGCCTAGTGTACACATTTTGGTTTTCCACAGTATTACAGTGACTT